GCCGGCTAACGGCTGCCGGCCGACTGAGCTTCTCTCAGTTTAGAGAGAAGACAGAGAGTTCTTCTCTCTGTTTGAGAGAAAGAAAGAAAAAAAAAGGGAAAAGAAGAAATGAAATGGCTGGCCCGAAGGGCCAGCCGATTTGGACTTTTATAGTCCTTCCCGAACGACGCCGTTTCGGGAAGGACTATGCGCGTAATTACAAAATAGTTAAATCCCTTCCGCAGTCCTTAGTACTTGTAAACTTTACATTTTAGTCACTAAATTGAATTTTTAATATTTTTTAGTTCAGTCTTCGAATTTTAAATTTATTCATTTTAGTCCTTTTTTATTAAAATAATATATTTAGGATAAATAACAGATTTAATCCCTTAATTTTAATAAATAAAGTTTTCATCCCTAGTTCATATTTTTAATTAATTTTATTTTAAAATTTGATTTTTAAATAAATTCATTTTAGTCACTAAGTTATTAAAATTAGAAAATAAAATATTTAATCCCTATAATTTCAATTAATTAGGAATTAGATTTAATTTTATTCATAATTTAATTATTTTATATGTTTTCATTTTATTGTTTAAAATATATTATTTTAGTGATATTTTTATTTTATTATACTGTTAAATATTTTTATATATACATATAATAAATATTTTTGATATCGAAGAAAAGGACAGTCTTAATACAACTGGATGTCCTATTCTGATATTTTATAATTAAAAATTAAACAATATTATTTAAATTAATATTTATCAATATCAAAGAAAAAGAGCTGTCTTAAGGTACCTAGAAGTTCTTTTCGGATATTTTTAAATAAAAAAATATTTTTTATATAATTTTGAAATAATAGAATCATAAATTAAATATATTTTTGAATTTTTAAATTTTTAATACTAGAGACAATTTATAATTAAAAAGTACCAATTTTGGGCGTTGTAGGGGTGCTAATCCTTCCCTAAACGTAACCGACCACGAACCCCTTTTTATTATTAAAAAGAACAAATTTTTGGTTATAAAACGCAGATCAGTTCATTTTTTTATTGATGTTTTCTTAAAACTCTTTTAAAAAATAATTTTTAGGTATTCGACCTACCTGATCCAAAAGGTCGATGGCGACTCACAAATTATTTTCAAAAATTATTTATTAACATCAATTTCCCCACTAAAATAAATATTTCGTGCCCGGACGAAAAACGGTTACGACAAGGTATACTGTGAGTTTGTTTACCCATAGGCACTGAAAACATTAATCAAAATAGATTGAGAGAAGAGGCTAAAAGTACGGTACGTTTACCGAAGTGGATAAAGGGTAAGCCATAGGTTCTTGCTCTCCTCTCCACGCCCAGCTTTCCAAAAGTCAATCTAAGACTCTGACTCTCACTCTGTGCCACTCCTCACCGGAGAAAATAAAATAGTAGTTTTTTGAAAAGCAGAAACTGTGAGATTTGAATTAATTATGCCAGTAGCTTGCTAAATTATCAAAGTAAAAAAATAACTATATTTTATTAATAAAAATATTTTTTGTTTATCACATTGAAGGCTTGAAGTGTCTCTATACAAAGAAAAAACTATTTGCTGTTTGTAAAATTAACAATTAATTAAATTATTTTTATATTATTTATAATATAATGATAAAAATATTTATTATATTAAATCATCAAAATAAAATATTTAACGTTTACCAAAAAAATATTTTACTAAAATAGAACAATAGAAGTATAATATTATTTTTGTATAAAAATATGATCCATTAATATCATATAATACTTTTTGATTTTATAAAGATAGTTAAATGAGGAAAAAATAGACAATTGAGATTAGTATTAGAACATGAAAATATATTCACATGAAAAAAATAATAAAATATTCTCAACTGTATCTACGATAGTAAAAAGATATAAAATTAAAAACTATACATTTCACATAAATATATCTTAATTTTTTTATAAATTTATTACCATTTTTTATTTCTAATACTATAATTTCACCATTCAGGACAAATGAATTAGAGCCTCGAACATTGTTTTTTTGTTCGGTAGGATTAGTCATTTATATGAATTTGTTACTTTCAAAATTGTGGGGACAAAAAATAAGAGCCTCGAGTTTTGCTTTTTGGTGGGTATTGTTAATCATTTATATGAATTTATTATTTTGTAAATTATAAATCTCATTATTTAATTTTATTTTATTTTAATATTAAAATAAAAAAATTAAATTATTTTACTTTTTGAATTATTTATATTTTAATCATCTTATCATTAAATAATTAACAACGTTGTAATAAAATAAACATAATAAAATAATATCATAGATTTTCGTACGTGGTGTGCTCTTAAGTCTCCGTAATATGCCTAACAATTCTTCTAACCACGTTCTTCTTTATTCTCTCACCTTCTTTAATGTCAACAATATCTTCTTGTTCGTAGCTTTCGTATAACCATTTACTTAGTCCCAATTTGGTATTATTTTAAAAAGTGATTTAACAAGTGCGATAAAAAAATATTTTTAAATTTTTTTTTGAAACGTGTAGTTTAAAATTTAATTGTTTGAGATTGTTGTTAAATAATTATTTTAAAATGATAAAATATCTATCTTAGACATTATGTTATGAATTGAAAATATAATATTTAAAGATAAAAATATAATTTCATTCAAAATGGATTTTTCAAAACAAAATTTAAAATTTTAAACTTTTGAGATTAAATTAAAAATCATTTTTTTCAACCATGCTTTTAAATCAATTTTCGAATATTTTACATTGTTTATGGGTGAAAAATCACCTTTTTATTCCTAAAAGTATTCTCAAACTCACCCTTAAAGTGTTTTGACAGAGTTTAGAAGGATTAATATTTAAATTTACAAAAAAAAACTTTCAAACTTGAAACTTCCCTAAAAATAGAGAGAACTTCTTTATTTTGTTATTTAAAGAATTAAAATTTTTAAAAATCAAAAAAATTAAAAAATGTTTTAATCTTAGGATACTAATGTTTCATAATTTTTTAAAAATTTAAAAAGTATGGTTCAAATACACAAACTAATTTGTTTGCGATTTTTTTTATTTTTAGAATATAATTATCCAAAAACTAAATTTACTGTAATAATAAATAAAAATAATTAGATCTATAATATTTAAATAAAACTGATAGGGCTTTAATTTGTAAGGATTTTTGTTTTTAATTTGTATACAGTAAAACCTCTATAAATTAATAGAATGAGTCTACTACGCTCGACGAGTATCGTTGAGCACCATTAACGATGAGCATCGCTGAGCACCATTAATTTAATTTATAAAAAGTTAAAATTCTAAAGGACTCAACGTATAATTATAAATTAGTTAAAAATTTAAAGATAAATTACTTAAAATAAAATATTAATTACATTAATTTCCATAATCATTTTTAACAATTTTTTAAATAATTTTAAAGGTAAAATATAAATTTTTTTTGTTAAAAAAGATTATGAAAAATATTGTAATTAATATTTTATTTTGAATATTTTACCTTTATATTTTTAACTAATTTATAATTATTCGTTAAGTCCGTTAGAGTTTTAAATTTTTATAAATTAAATTAATGGTGTTCAACGATGCTCATAGAGCATTGTAGAATTTTCCAAATTAATAATGTTGGAATTGCATAACTTTACTAATTTAAAGAGGTATTAATTAATCGATAAATTAATATTTTATTAATTAAAAAAAATTGTTTCAACAAACCTACATTATTCTTCATAAATAAAGCATATACATTCTATAAAGTCTCAGCTTGGATGGTAAATGTTCAACAAGAGACAATAGCAAATTATTTTTGACACATGTAAAATTCGTTTGCATGATGAAGTAGCCTCAAGGAATTTAAATGAAGGGACTACTGAAGAAAACATTCATGAACTTGATATGATGATTAATGCCCTTTGGTACCACAACAAAATGGATGTCAATTACCTATTGGATTACACGCATAAAAATGATACATGTTTAGAGGTCCAAAGTTCATAAAAAAATTGTAGCTAGTGTTATTGAAAATCCTAGTAAGGATGAATATGAAGATGATGTAATGTCTTTGTAACCAATTACGCGTAAGGAAGCAGTCATAGCGACAACAACTCTTCACATTTTTTTGTTGCAGTATGAGAATGTTACACCGAAACTTTTGGATGTAGTTAAGAAAGTTAGAGATGAAATACAACTAGATCTAAACTTTAAGAAGAAGCAAACAACAATAGAGTCAGATTTTACTAAGTTTTCCTAGTTGTATTTGTAATTTTTATAGAATTATTAATTTATAATATTGAAGGGATCGTAAATTTATATAAAAGTCTTTCAAAAAATTATCTTATTAATTTATCGAAATTATTAATTTAGACCTTGGACCAAAATTAAAATAGAGAAAAATATTATTTTGGAGAGATTATTAATTCATGAGTATTAATTTATAGAGGTTCTATGGTATATTATTTATCTTCTGACTAATTTTTTAATAATAGAATCTTTAAAATTAAAAGTAAAATTCTTACTTCAAAATGTAACGAGAGATATTAATGGACCCATATATTTATTAAAGGTGAGGAGGGAATCCATTTTATTAAAAGCTATAGTTAAATTTGTCAGAATTTTAGATTTTAAGAGCGTTTCTTGTGGTAAAAAATGGATTTTTTTTCTGTTCGTAGGTGAAAAATAGATTCTCATTTACAAGTGAAGAGTAATTTTTTTAACCAGAGTAAAAGTAAATTTTATGAACTTCTATGCATTGCGGAGATAGTCCTACACAACACAGTATTAGAATGAAGGTAAGTATTGGCTTATTGCATTCATGTACTACGTGGCTTGATAAATACACAATGAGTAAAGGACAAAAGAAATTCAATTTCCTGTCCTAACGATGGAAAACAGAATTTAAGGCCGTTTTACACGTTGACTATGTACTCAGAGCATTATTAATGGAGTAAGATCCCTTGTGTTTTTATCTTCAACCATTTTTTTTTATAAATTCCCCATGCAATTTCACTTGTTTCCCATCGCTGAAATCCCAGTTTCTAACACACTTTTTCTGGTAAAGGCAAAGCTATGGAGAGTGGTGAGCCCAGCAAGAAATCTTCTTTCCAGCTACAAAATCAACCCCCTTCGTCTCCTTCACACCCTTTCTCGATCAAAAAGATCATTTTTGTGGCTTCCATCGCCGCCGGTATCCAATTCGGGTGGGCCTTGCAGTTATCGCTCCTCACCCCATATGTTCAACTCCTCGGTATACCTCACAAATGGGCTTCTCTCATTTGGCTCTGTGGACCCATCTCTGGGATGCTGGTGCAACCCATCCTCGGTTACCACAGTGACCGTTGCACCTCCCGTTTCGGCCGTCGCCGGCCCTTCATAGCGGCGGGAGCCGCCCTGGTGGCCACGGCAGTGGTCCTCATAGGCTTTGCTGCCGACTTGGGTCATCTCTTTGGGGACTCCTTGTCCACCCAGACGAAGTCGCGTGCCATCGTGGTGTTCGTGATAGGGTTTTGGATCCTAGACGTGGCCAACAACATGTTACAAGGTCCATGCAGAGCTTTACTGGCTGATATTTCGGGGGATGACCAGAAGAAAACGCAGTCCGCGAACGCCTTCTTTTCCTTCTTCATGGCGGTCGGGAACGTACTTGGCTTCGCCGCCGGTTCCTACACTCATCTCCACAAAATCTTCCCCTTCACAACGACGAAAGCTTGTGACGTTTACTGCGCAAATCTCAAAAGCTGTTTCTTTTTCTCAATTCTTCTCTTGTTAACCCTCACTTCCATCGCTCTCTCATGCGTGCATGAAAAGCCCTGGTCACCGGAACATGAAAATGCCGGTAACGCAGGCCGCCGTGAGATTGAGGGAGCAGCAGCGGAGGCAACCACCGTCCGGTTCTCTGGGGAAATATTCGGTGCGCTTAAAGAATTGAAGAGACCCATGTGGATTCTTCTGGCGGTGACGTGTCTCAATTGGATTGCATGGTTCCCTTTCTTGTTGTTCGACACCGACTGGATGGGTAGAGAGGTGTATGGTGGTGATTCAGTGGGAAACGACCTCGTATTGAAGCTCTACAACAGTGGGGTACATGCAGGCGCGTTGGGGCTCATGTTGAACTCCGTGCTGCTGGGTTTCACGTCCCTCGGGGTGGAGCTCCTGGCGCGTGGGGTTGGAGGCGTTAATAAGCTTTGGGGGATGGTCAATTTTTTGCTTGCTTTTTGCTTGGGCATGACGTTTTTGGTAACCAAATTTGCTGAGTCAAGCCGCCGGTTCATCACCGTGGACGGTGTCATAGTCCCTTTGCCGCCACCAGCTGGAGTCAAGGCCGGGGCATTATCTCTATTCGCTGCACTGGGGATACCCTTAGCTGTAAGTTCAATCTCTTCTCTAGTTACATCCTTTTAGTTACAAATATTAATTAACCCAGTCTGGAATCATCTCATACGCTTCGCTGGAGTTTGCAAACCATCTGTTTGATTATATGTTCAAGACGGCTTCTTCAAATATTTTTTTTTGAGAGAATTGACATTAGTAGTTGGAACATAATTTTTTAATGTTTGAATTGAATGAGTGCTGATATATGGTCCCGTGCTGTCGTTTTACGGCCAGATTCTTAGGAATCCAGTCGAAAACTGCAGCTCTGACGCAGTAGGCTTGCCCCACGCATCCAAATCAAACAACCCTAAGGCGACCTTATAAGCGGTTCTACCTCTTGCATCGGTCATCAAATTTTTGGGCCTTTATTTGTATAAAAAAAATACAGATATCAAACCGCTATGTGATCACACGATAATATATTTTATTTTTAAAATAAATTTAAATATAAATAATATTATTTTAATTCAAATCAAATATGTCACGCTTTACCATGACCACTCTTTAGGTTTTTTTCAACTTCTTTTTTTTCTGTCTTCGTTAATGTAAAATATATCACAAGGTGTTATTAAATATGTTTTGGGAGTATAGAGGCATACTAATTTTTTTATACTCCCAATGGCATTTATTGACATTTGATAGTATGGATTTCGATTCCCTTGTCAATATCTGTTTTCCTCTTAATTTTGCACATTTCTTCCTACTCCTCTTTTGTTAAGCAAGCGACCAGTGGAGGCAGGCCAGCTGAAACAGCTGGTTCGAAGATTCTTTTACATAATTTTTGCTTTAAAATGTTAATTTAATATTAATATTAAGTATACTTAATACTTAACAAATAATACATTTAATAATATGATACTTGACATACAATTGAAATGTTAGAGGTTCAAATGTAATTTAACTATAAATAAATTGAAAAACAAATAAGTGTCATATATATACAATTGGTGTTTTACAGGTTCAATCTGGTTTTATGTCGTATCTTAATTTTGCAGATAACTTACAGCATTCCATTTGCATTGGCATCCATATTTTCCAGTTCCTCTGGTGCAGGTCAAGGTAAAATATTTCCTGGCACATTGAAAATAAGTTGGTATGGCTGAATCATCCTTTCAAACTAAAACTGATTATCGCTTGCTATGGAACAGGGCTTTCTTTGGGAGTGCTGAACCTGGCGATAGTAATACCGCAGGTAATATTTGCATTCTTAGCACTGCTAATATTAAGTACAACATTGGGCTGGGGTTGATTTTGGAGTGAAATGAACTTTGCAGATACTGGTTTCATTGGGGAGTGGACCATTTGATGCAATATTTGGAGGTGGAAACCTGCCGGCTTTTGTACTGGGAGCAGTAGCGGCCGCTGCTAGTGGAATATTTGCATTAACCTTGCTCCCTTCTCCACCACCTCATGTACCTGCTGCCAAGGCTGTTACTGCTGGCTTCCATTGACAGTAGTGGATATATATTGCCTTGTTTTGTTATTATGTAGAGCATCGAACATAGAACCCTAAACGGCATTTTTTTACAAGTGCCAAGGCCTAGCTAGCTAGCTAGCTCATATGGCTGTTTTGGTGTTGAAGATGTATTATAACCAAAATGTCCAATTTTTAGTTTTCAAGTTAAAAAAAAGGATGCAAGTGTATGGTTAAGTGGGATTGTCGTTCTGTACTTTGTGGAGTGTATTGTATCCATGGCCAAAATGGCTATTTTTAGCTTTTAAATCAAAAGGCTGTAATGTGTTTTGATGTTTAGTTTGTTTACATTCCACTCACTAGATGAGTGCTGACATTTGAGTTTTAACATGGTCAACAAAAGAAAGAGAAACCGGTTTCCAAAAAAAAAATATTTAGATATAAATAGTATTTTTAATATTAAATTTGTAATTAGGACTTACGGGTCAGGATGGGTTGAAGAAAGGTTTGGGGAAGGAGACAAAGTAAATAATAATGCTAATTGGGCCTACTTGAGCCCCTGGATAGTTCCAAACACCACATGAACATTAGAGAATCTGAATATATATAAATCGAAGTATCTGCTTGTCCCAAACTGCAAAAGAATGGTTTGGGCAGTGGGTTGCTGAGCCATATGAACCGCATTTGAACTTGGGATGTTGTCTCCAAATCACTATGGATGCAGATGTTTAGATGAAAGATGAATGAATCAATGGCCTATAAGATTATGTCACAGTTGGAGAAGAGGCGAGGTTCCAAAAACAAAAAATATTATAATCATATTACCATATAAAAATGAAAACAAAATAAAATGTACACTTAATTTAATAAAAAAAATTATACACCTAAAACAAAAAATAAGTATAGTTTAAACGTGTATTTTTCAATTAAACCATAATTTTATAATCATATTAATAAGAAATATACACCAAATTATTCATAGACTAGTAGGGGTGGCAATCGGGCGGGGAAAAATCGAAAACCATGAGGATCCAAACCGAAGAGATGAGGAATAACCAAAATCTTTACCCACAATAATGGGGATGAGAGAAGTTTTATCCCGGAAGCTCAAATGGGGATGGGGATAGGGATTGCTATATCCAAACCGTAGAGATAACCGAATCGTATCCGTGTGAATAACCGTGGAGATCCCCAAAAAATATATGTGAGATTACATGTTACCACTGTTACATCTCAAAGGAACTAAATTGAAGTTTAGATCAATTATCATTTAATATAAGTAGATTTGTTGAGATTGAAATTGGTTAAGACTGTACATATACTTTGGGTGTTAGATAAATATTGACGTTTGAATCTTTCATATTATAAATAAAGACCAATTTGATACAATCTGATATATCTTACAAGTTTTAAATGTTGAATTGATTTAAAAAATGTTAGTTTATTTTTTGGGATAAGGATTAATCGAAACCCGTAGGAATCCATAATAGATTAGTATGAGGACAAAAAAAATCCCCTAAATATATATTGGAGATTCCTTAAAACCGTACCTGCAAATATTGGAGATGGAATGAGTAATACAAAACCGTCCCTGCCCCATTGCCACCCCTTAAGACTAGGCCTTCATTATTGGTAAAGCGATCACACATTCTTCACCTTACGAAGAACTCTGGTAACGTTTGTTATAATTTAGGGTCTGTGGCCTCCAAAATTTTAAACATTACATTAAATAACAAAAATACATAATAATAGTACCGATTTTAATAAGCAAACATGTTTTTAGAAAATAATATGAAAACAGTAGTCGTTTTTCTCTTAGAAACATTTCAAATCCATATTGCTAGAGCCTAGAAGGGAGAACCGGAAGAACACAAGGTTTAGGGGAAAACGAGATATTATAATAAGATGAAATACGTTTATCTCCGGCTCCGCAACTAAGCTGCAGCCACGTCTAAACTAATTACAAGAACCTCATGGGGCATTAACAAGTTGGCATTTGCCCATTCAACAGAATCAAACCACTGCCCACTTTGCAGTGGTTTTGAAATGGACACCGGATAAGATGTTGCATCCCCCTTTACGCCTTGTTTACACGAATTTGTTGCCCCTCCAACATCTGCAATAAGCAACCCTTTTATATCAGTAATACTTACATCTTCGCAATGCTCGTTTCCCCATAAACCTATGTAACTCGCACTCGGGCATGAGAATGTGATCAGATTAGTTTTTCAAGTTCTTAAGCGCGTTTGGAAGATCTTCGAAAGTCATATCCGCATAACCACGGATAATTCAGGAAAAAAAAAGTAAAGAATCAATGAAAGGAAACTTACAAGTAGAAACCGTACAAAGTACAGAGCTTATAGCATATATGAATATAACTACCAATGGTTACATGCATCTCTTTGGGCCATAAACTGAACTAAATGAACACATATGCATGCATAGCAGATTTCCAAAAATGCAACAGCAGAGAAATATTTTATCAAATTGAGACTATTAAAGGAAACAAAGACATTTGATCAAGAGGAATTAACAGTTTATGTTACTTGACTCGAATCACAAATCCGACACATATGTACGATTTTTTCCAAGATTTTCATATGTTTGAACACGTCTGGATAACTTCCGGACATAAGTGTTGGACAAAGGGTACTTTAATAAAAATGCAGAGTCGAGGCAACATAGATTGCAACTACCAGACAAATCAACAGTTTTCTAATGCATTCAGGAATCATCTGGAAACATGAAGGAGCTGCAAACAGAGTTCACAACAGAATGGGTGTACAGAAGTAAAAGGCGTCTTATTCTAAAGGTTGTCAGCAAATGGAAAATACATATCTCATTATTCCTAATTCTAATAATTACAAGAATAAGAAAAATTCATGAACATAAATATGCATGAATTGCCATTGCATACAACAAGGGTATTGCAGAAACAAGGCAAAAGCGGAGAACAACTTACAGCGTTGTTAAAAGACGAGATAGCAGCTTCAACTTCCTCTTCTGAAGAGAATGATACAAACCCAAATCCCCCTGATTTGGATGTCCCAGGGACTCGTGAAACCTTGGCGCTCTTTACCTTCCCTTTCTCGGAGAAGAAATTCTTCAGTATATCAGAAGTTACTGTCTTGGCAAGGTTTCCCACATAAACCTTGTGCGGACTATCAATAAACTGGGTACTCTCAGCCTGAAGGACAGACAAATCCACTTGCGCAGTAGGCTTTTCAGTAATGTTTACCATTATCTCTCGCCCTCCAATTTTCTGGAAAGAAAAGAATATCACCATGAAAACCACATACCAACATTATACGTGATTTGTCTCGTCATAGTTTTAGAACAATAATATCACATTTGGTTACATAAGTATTAACCCAAGCAGGGATAGAACGGGCGTGGCGTTCGCCCCTGAAATCTCAAAATATTCATATAATTTAGGTGTTCTCTTAGTTTTGCCCCTAAAATTTTATAATTTCGCAGCCTATCATAAAATCCTGTGTAGTCTCCGGTTACCAGAGGAAAAAGCTTGATTATAACATATCTTTTTTCAAAATCTGTTGCAAAGTCATGCACTAAAACATGTTGAAAAAGTAAAAACCCTACCGAGAGTAGCATAAAGCATATGGTATGGGCTTACAGTTCCGTTTAGTTTCTCTATTGCCGCATTTGCATCATCCACGGTTTTCATTGTAACAAAAGCAAATCGGCGGCTTCTTCCAGAGTACTTATCATACATCACCTGAAAAAAAGAAGATAAAAAGAAAATTTTCACATCGATACAAAAAGGCATTTTCTTTTTACATACAAAGTTATTAAGTGATATTGTAGATAGAAAAGGAAGCACCTCTGCTTTTTCAACAGCGCCATGTTCTTCGACGAGCTTTTTCAACTGGTCATTGTTTACAGTTCTGGGTATGTTTCCAATGTAAAGCCTCCTGTCGGCCTCGGAAGAAGGGACGGCAACCGTTGAGGTTCGCTCTTCTGCCGCAACGTACAACCTTTGTTTTCTTGGACGTGAACTCGGTATGAGATTTTGGGGCAAACTGGGTTGGAGAATTTGAAGAGAGGACTGTTTCAATTGGGGTTTGGAGGACAGTTTGGTGAGGAATGGTGGTGATATTAGAGATGACATTGAAGCCATTTTCTCTCTTTGATTGGGATATATCTGGAGGGAAAAAGGGATGTAAGAGCGGGTTTTATTTCATTATCCACCGAAGAGCTTCCGGCTTTGAGTCGCTTGCGGATAAATGATACAATGAATTCTAAATTCGTCTCTTTAGTATTACGAGTTCAAATAATATTTTTAAATTAATCTAGGTAAATGAGATCTTTGGAGTATAATATTTTAATATTTTTTTCTAAATTTATCACGTTAATATAACGAGTCTATTTATAATAATATTTTTTTTTTGAAAATTAAGTAATTAATTTTTAATTTTTAATAATTTAAAATTAACTAGTCGTTTATAGTCTTTTGAAAACAGACATAAGCAACCGTCACTTTGAAACTCATTATATCAAGGTGATGAGTTTCATGAGATTTTTTAAAACACTAGTTATTTATAGTCATTGGATTTAAGGTTTAGAGTTTTAATGTGAATTGTTAAGAAGAAAAAAATTACATGAGAGAAAATTTTGTTTTTTTAATAGTTTATGTTAAAATGTCTAATCGAGATAAAATGTTCCACCATGATGTTGTCCATATTTTCTCGCTTAAACTCACTCCGATAAAAAAATTCATATATTTTTAATAGTTCAAATTATTAATTTTGTTATTTTGAAAATTTGATTAAATGGTTGAAATTGATATTGTAGGAAGAAGAATCGGACTTTCGTCAACAATGAATGACACTTAAAGATCCGCATGAGTGGACTATTATATATCTACAACAATTTGGGTTGTATCCAACCACATTTATTAATGGTTTTAAAGTAAACTATGCACTAACTTCGGCACTGATTAAATGTTGCATGTTCGAAACACATACTTTTCATTTTTCAGATGGTGAAACGACGATTACGTTGGAAGATGTCGCTTACCAACTCAGTGTTCCGATAAATGGTGAGCCACAACACTTATAACCGATTCGATATTGATAAGGAAGTTTTGGGAAAGAAGCCACCACCATATGTCATAGACGGGATACGAATACGGATGACTAGGTGCTGAATTTCAAGTGGATCAAGACTCTACCGAGGATGAGGTCAAATTTGCATCCCAATCATATCTTCTCCAATTGATTGGAGGGATATTGTTACCGGGAAAATCTGGGAATTTGGCGCACACTTAGAATCTTCCGATATTGAATAATTTTACCGATTGTCGTAACACTAGTTATTTT